TGTGTGCGGGGCAGGACCTGGCGGGGTTCTGGAGTGTGTGTGCGGGGCAGGACCTGGCGGGGTTCTGGAGGCCGGCGGAGGCTCAGCCGTGACCTGGGCTCCAGCACTGGGGCCGGACCTCAGCCCTGGCTGGGCTCCAGAGCCAGGCTCCCTGTCTGGGTGGCTCTGGGTTCTAGAACCGAGCTCACCCCCACAGCCTGCATGTGTTCTAGAGGCGGGCTTGGTGTCAGGACAGAATGTGACCTGAGAGCCGCCCTGGGTTCTAGGTCTGGGTTTGGTCTCCGGCCTGGTGTGGGCTTCCGAACTACCCTGGGCTCTAGAACTGGGTCTAGCCTCGGAGCCAGCCTGGGCTCTAGGGCTAGGCTGTAGTGCAGATTCAGGGCGGGCTCTAGGACAGGGCTCAGTCTCAGGGCTGCCCTGCGTTCTAGAGCCGACCTGAAATTCCGGGTTGCCTTGGGTTCCAGGACCAGGCCGCGTCCCAGGACTAGACTGGGTTCTGCAGTCTGTCTGGACCTCAGAGAGGACCTGGGCTCCAGAACCGGGCTGGGATTCCGGCTGGACCTCAGAGCTGACTTGGGTTACGGAACCGGGCTGGGCCTCAGGGTGGGCCTGGGTTACAGAAATGGACCGGGTTCCAGAGCCAGGCCGGGTCTCGGGGCTGTCCTGCGTTCTAGAGCTGGGCCCGGCCACGGGCTTGAGCTGGGCTCCGGAGTCCGGCTGGGATTCCGCCTGGGCCTCGGACCTGGCCTGGGCCTCGGACCTGGGTCTGGCTCTGGAGCCGGGCCGGGCCCCGGGGCTGTCCTGCGTCCTGCAGCGGCGCTGCGGCAGGGGGCTGGGCCCGGGGCTGCGGACCCCCGCACACGCTAACCACAGCCGTCGCGGGCGTCGCCGATGGCCGCCCACACCTCCACCACGAACTCGTCCGGGAAGGCGAACTCGCCCAGGACCGCGTCCAGGCCGCGCGCGAAGGCCTGGGCCCCCGCCGAGCTCCGCGCAGTCTCCACCACCGCGGCCGCTGCGGATCGGACAGACAGACGGACGCACGAGGGGCGGGATGGACGGGCGGCCGGGCCGCCGTGAGCGCGCGCGCGCTCGCCCGCCCGCCCCGGACCCCGCGCTTACCCGCGCCGCTTACCCAGCTCGGGGTCCCGGATGCCCATGTAGCTCTCCAGCAGGTCGTCCACCCTGCGCGCCGCCGCCGCCTCCACGTCGCTGGGCTGCGGACGGGAGAGCGGACGTGTGAGTGACGGGCGGCAGGCCCCGCCCCCGGGAGTGACGGACAGGTGAGTGACGGGCGGCAGGCCCCGCCCCCAGGAGGGACGGACAGGTGAGTGACGGGCGGCAGGCCCCGCCCCCAGGAGTGACAGACAGGTGACGGGGAGGGCGATTCGTTCTTCAGAGGTGGCCGTGGGGCCCCTGAAGCAAATCCTGAGTCTTTAAAGAGGTGAGCAGAGCAGGAGGTCTGGGTGGAGGGGACCAGAGGTGATGGGTGCCCTCTGACACACTTGGCACTCGTGTGAAAACACACGGACGCCCATCATCTGGAGAAATTCACACACAGAACCACGACTCTCTGTGCGGAGAGGACTGAGCCCCCAGGACCCCCGTAAAGGCGGAGGGGAACTGGATGCCCAGGCGTCCTCGGCCCTCCACACGCATGTACACACACACTCACTCACACACACATGCACGCGCGCGCACACACACACATGCACGCACACACTCACAGAGACACACTCACACACGCACACACGCGTGTACACACACACACACACACACACGCACGCGCGCACACACGGACACACATGTACACACTCAGACACAGACGCACACACACGCACCCCAGGCAAGACGTCACGACGTAAAAAACTCAGTTTTATAACTGAGTCAGGACCAGGTGGCACCCTGGCACCGGGAGCCGTTCCTGCCGTCCGTCCGTCCTCCAACCCGAACCCATCGCACGGGTGGGAAACTGAGGCTCTGAAGCTCAGGCTGGCCATCCCCCTGCCTCAGCCCCCCGAGTTCTGGGATGACTGTCCTGGGCCACCACCAGCACTCTGGGCTGCACAGGGTGCTGACTGTGGCCGCGCCATCGTAGTGCATCTCCAGGTGTGACTCAGTGGCCCCGAGCTCCTCACCGCGTCCTCCACGGTGGCGGCGCCCCCGGCGCGCAGACGCAGCGTCTCCCTCCCGCTGCTCACTTTGGCTTCCACAGGACACTTGCTGCTCCTGCTCCTCTGGCCAATCATATCTGGGGGACAAAGCAGAGACGGGCGGCTCCGTTTCGTGTGGACTGATTTCCGTGCTCTCTTGCAGACAGGGGCTTGGTCTATAGCCCAGGCTGACCTCGAACTCAGGGCTTGCCTGCCTCGGGCTCCTGAGGGCTGTGGAAGGACTAGGGGCTGGGGGCGTGGTCAGGGTGTAGCCCCGCCCAGAATCCTCAGGGTGTCAGTCTTTTTCCCCCAGTGAACTTCTGTGCCTGTCCCACCTTGCGGGGCTCCTGACAAGGAGCAAGGCCTCTCTCTGAGGGTAGCCTGGACTATGAGGCTGTCTCAGAGAACCATGCCCTGCCTCTGGGCGCCCGGGCCCGCCGGGAGCAGCGTCCTCACCGAAGGCTCTGCGCGGCTGCACCAGGCGCAGGGTGAAGGGCTGGGACTTGGGCAGCTCGCGCAGCATCTTGGCCACCTCGTAGTGCCGGCAGCCCACGATGGAGTGGTCGTTGATGGCCTCGATGCTGTCGCCCACGCACACTGCCTCGATCCTGTTGATGATGCTGCCCTCCTTGATTCTCTGCGGGGAATCAGGCGCTGGTGGGGCCGCCCGGGCCGCCCTCCCGGGGTCCCAGCGTCCCCCCCCCCCCCCCGTCACCACACACGCAGGTACCTTGATGAAGGCGTACCCCGCCCCGTTGTCTGTGATGGTCAGACCCAGAGCGTCCTCCGTCTTGGTGACCTCCACCTCTTTGGTCTCTCCACGCACGTGCGCAAAGATGAAGTCTTCCAGCCCGATCTGCCCCCCCAGCAACTTCTGCATGTCCACTTTGTGACTGTTGAGGGTGCAAAACAGGATCTGTCCGGACAGGAGAGGGACCCAGAATCAGTCACGGCGGGGGCGGGGGGGACCACCCTGTGCGCACCCTTTGGAGGTGCACGGTCTCTGCGGGCGCCCCCTGGGGGCCAGCGGCACCTGAGCCCCGCACGCGCGGGACAGTCGAGGCCCCCACTGCCCACCTGTGAACAGGGGGCCAGGCCTGACTGTCATCCCAGCACTCAGGAGGCTGAGGCAGGAGGATGACTCACAGTCTCAGACCTCCCCCAAATAAAAAAGTCTAAGCATCCTGTTCACCACTGTAACCCCAGAAGCTGGGGAGCTGAGAAAAGGGGATGCTGCGAGCTAGAAGCCAGCTTGGGTTACAGGACCAGTTCCAGGCCAGCCTGGGCTACGAAGTGAGAGCTTCTCCTAATGAAACAAACAAAGGAATGGGAGCCGGCAAGATGGCTGATCTCCACGACCTACGTGGTGGAGGAGAGAACTGACCCCCAAGCTGTCCCCCGGCCTCCACTGTGAGCTCTGGTGTCCCCACATATGATAAAATAAAAACACACTAAGTAGCGGGGTACGCCTTTAATCCCAGCACTCAGGAGAGAGAGGCAGGCTGATCTCTGTGAGTTCGAGGCCAGCCTGGGCTACAGAGTGAGATCCAGGACAGCCAGGGCGAGACCTTGTCTCAGAGAAACAAAATTTAAAAAAAAAAAAAAAAAAAAAAAAAAAAAAAAAAGGAAGGAAAAAACAACAGCAGAGAAATGTAACGCAGAGAATTTAGTTCAAGAAATTAAAAGTGATGTTTTTTGAGACAGGGTCTCTTGTAGCCCAGGCTGCCCCTCTAGTTTACCATGTAGCTGAGGATGACTGACCTTGAACTCCCAACCCTCCTGCCTCCACCTTCCCAGTGCTGGGGTTACAGGCCTTACACCACTACACATGGTTTATCCTGCACTCTATCCATCTACCACCGAGCCACAAGCACCCTACCTACTGAGCCACAAGCACCCTACCCAGTGAGCTGATTGACTCCCACCCACCAGCCACGGGGGCGTCCTGACGCCTGGGTCGGGTCCTCGGAGGATGTGGGAACCCCACTCCCACGGTCTCGTCGGGTTTTTCCGTGGCATGCACACGGGTCCCGGGCGGGGCCCGGGGTCTGCCCTCACCTCGGTGGGCGCGATGCCGAAGGCCTCGGCGATCTTGGCGTAGAGCTCGCGGACGTTGGTGAAGCCCTCGATCCTGCCGGTGGGGCTGCCGTGCGCCAGCTGCGTGCGGAACACCAGGCGCGGGCGCGCGCGGGCGGGGGGCTCGGTGGCCCCGGGCTCGCGGGGCGCAGCGCTGTCCATGGCGCGCGGGGTCCGGCGCGTCTTGCGCCTCCCGCCCTGGGCCGGCGACAGCTGAGCCGGGCGTAAGCGGATCCGGGAACCCGAGCCGCCAGGGGGAAGGTGAAACCGCGCCGGGACCAGCCGCGCAGCTCCCCGGGGACCCGCGAACAACAAGGGGACCCCCCCCCTCGGCTCCGGGTGCTGTGCGCAGTCCTGGTGTCCTGGGGAGCCCCGCCCCTGGCCTCTCCCCCCCCCCCCGCCCTGCCTGTCCACTCCCGCTTCCTCCCTCTGCTCAGCCACGCGTGCTTTCCTCCTTGCCCGGCCCCAGGGCCCTAGCACAAGCTGCGGCCTCCGCTGGGACTCGGTCCCGGAGCTTCCAGTGAGTTCTTCCTCACCTGTTTATCCAAAGACCACCTGCTGCCCGCCCTGTACCTCCGAACCGCTCCTCTAAGAAGTGTTGTTTTTGAGACAGAGTCTCAGTGTAGCGCAGATCGGCATGGAACTCCACCTGATCCTCCTGCCTCGACCTCCCCAGTTCTGGGAAGGAGACCCAGGAATGTGATGGCATAGACCTGAGCCAGGTCTAGGGGAGTGCAGGGCTGG